TTCCGGCGTAAATGGCTCGAATAACACTTGTCTATGAGCTGATCGCCAATGTAGTCATCCTCGCCGGCGCCAAAATCACAAGTCGCTGCTCGCTGACGCAATCTACAAACGAACTGATCAACTGTCTCTCCGATCCCTTGCGAAATTTGTCGAAACAAATGTCTCTCAAAGGGAATGTTCGCCTTTGGCACGAAATGGTCGTCCAACACCTTTAACGTTGCTTCAAAACTTGCATCTCCACCCTCACCAGCTAGTGTGAAATAAATTTCTTGCACATCCATACCAGCGACATGCAACAGCAAAGCACGTTTTTGAGCGTCGTTCGATACACCTTTCCCGGTCACATACAAACTGAACGCTCGCTTCCACTTCTTCCATCGCTGACTTAAATTGTGCGCCTCTCCTTTTGGATTAAATGGTTCCAATCCACTGACATCTAAAGTAACAGAAGTCATCCCAGAACCGCCAACAGCACCGCTCGTAGTACCGCTTGTCGCGTTAGTTTCGCCCGATCCACCGCCTCCCGGCATCGCTGAAATAAATCCTTGACGAAATCCTCGACGAAATCCACAGCGAAATTTTCAACGAAACTCTTGAAACCCTCGGCGAAATCCTCGAAATATCCTCGAAATATCCTCGAAGTATCCTCGTCGCCAATGTAGTACCGCGGTTAGGTTAAAACACACTTTATTCACGACCGTTACACTCCGAACTCAGAACGCTAACCGACTCGAATAAATTACAACGCACGCTATCTATAGTACATGCAAATTACGTAATTCCCGTGTGTATTACATCACATTCATTCTCTCGCTTCTACGCGCTTGCATTAGCATCGTATACGCTACAATATTGCTGTTTAATAACGCATCAGAGTGAACAAACTTGTGCGCTTATTAAATTTTCTCGGAAAAAGAAGGCCAGCAAGCTTAGTCAAGATCATTTTTCTATTGCTCAAGTAATAGTAGTCAGAGTTTTTTTCATTTTTCATTACATAGTTTGTTTTCCAGTGCACTGTGAAAGTTTCTGTTCTTTATAAGAATAACTTTCTGTACGCAAATTGTCCTTTTCGCTCACTGTAAAGTAGAGAACGACAACTGTCGGCAGTGACTTCAAAACAATTGACTGTTTTCCCCTAAACAATTGCTGCAGCTGGATTTGACTGAGGCGAGCAAAACAAACCCTTATGTGCAATTTTCTGTATTTTCTAATGATCAGCTGAGTTTAATTTGCTCAAACGAAGACCCTCGCATGGACCAGTTAAGCTTACAGAAAAAATAGCTAAATGGTGAATGGCTTGGCTGCCAAGTTGCAACTGATCTTTTGCTTTTAGGATCTTTAGGTAGGTTGTTTTCGCACAGAAAATTCATTTCTTCATTGTGAGCAAGAAGTTTTTGAAATAATGTAACTTTAACTTTGTTTGAAGGAAATCCTACTTACGCGTAGGTTTTGACAGATGTTATGCGTGTTCAACTTGACAACTGAACACAAAGCAAAATTTATATATCTGCACGAAACGAGCAAGTTTAAAAAAACTATCGTTGCTTTGAAACCGATTTTTGGGAAGATATTACTAGATAAAGATTGACCTTTTTTCTGCCCACATATCAACGCAATAACTGCTACAATAAGGATTTTTCTTATATTTTAGTGATCTGCGAAACTACGAGTGTCCGATCGAGCGAGGGTTTTAAAATATCAGCTCGAGTGCGACAAAGTTCAGTGACTTCAAACACATTGTGGGCAAGCATTTATTTTTTTTGGCAAATCACTGTCCAAAGATATGTTGTTTTTGTGTCCGAAGTAGAGCTCCGGACCTTATATATCCAGGAACTTCCTTATATGAACACATTTTGTGAACGCACCTTGAAAAAAATGGGACCTACGCGTGCACATTTCCAGTACAACGCAAGGAAATTAATGTCGTTAAAGTCCGTTTTACTATGAGGTATTCTTCGAGAAAATTAAGTAACGACAAGGTTATAACCACAGCTTGCAACTTTTGAAGACAAATTGCCTTTCCTCTCCAGGTTATGAGTGGAAACATTTTATTTTTAGGCAATAAAATATTTGAAATCCCCCCATTTTTTCAAACCCGGCTAGGGGATCTGGGCGAAAAAGTTCACGCATGCTCATTACGTTTTTCCGCCCTGAACTTCTTGTTTAGCCTTGTGTGTATTATTGTGCACTTATAAGTTTGGATTGTCCAACTTACCATACTGACAAAAGCAAAAAATACTGTTCGGCCCTGTGAGAGCACATGTGGTAACTATAGATGAACCTGTATGTGCGACCAGCTCTCCTAAGCGAACACCTCCCATAAGCGACCACCTATCCACAGCACCAAATTTTTCCCAGTCAAAGCCTTACATTTGGAACCTCTCGTATACGACCACCTCCTGTGAGCGATCATGCCCCGCTTTTTGGGGCTGTCATTTTTATGATTATCCACTGTTTTTAACCTCGTGTAAACTATCACCTCACGCATTGTCTGACTTCTATGTTAACCGTGTGTACTTTGCTATTTAGAATATACGAAGAACTTAAGCAAAAACATGCGACTACACATATCGTAGCTTCCATAAAGCAGATGTGTCCAGACATCTTCTTGGGAAAGACCCTTCGTGGTTCTTTTCCCGTAAATGAATACCTTCCGCCAGTTGTGGCATTTTGGGTGGTCGCTTACGGAAGGTTCGACTGTTGGTAGCGTGTAAAGGTCAACTGGTAAAAAGAAGTAAATTACGTACAAGGTTAGGACGGGCCGTGGTCTGTTATGGATTGAAACGGTTTTGGCTCAGTTTGTTTGAAATTGTGGTTCCTTTGTGGTTCGTTGCTCATTGCTACGAATTGTTCAATGTCTTATATTGGGTAGCATGTGGTTAAAGTGATGCACAATTTTTAACTGAGGCTTTTAACATGTTTAAAACTGTTAAAGGGGAAAGCTGGAGGTGATCTTATAGACTTTTCTCGGTTCGAGCTCAGAAATTAAAGCGAAAGGTTCCAGAAATATTATATAGCAGCACTGTTGTATTCTCTCCAACTAGCATTTTTAATCATATGATCAAGCAAGAGAGCAAGAGAAATGACAAAAACGGACCTTTTATACACCACACAACGATGAATTATATCCTTCATGACAATAAAGGAGTAATAGTCTTAAAATTGACAAAAATGTACACGCTTTTAAGAATTACCCGACAAACTACAGTGTAAGTGTCTTATTCCCAATTCATAATATTCTCTTCTTTCCCTGTGACCTAAGCTTTTAAAAAGTCATGATCACAGATAACACCACAGGTAAAATCATATTCAAATAGTAGGTTTACTTTATTGACACAAAAATGTTAGAAAGTCTAGCAACAGTTAACAAGCCCTTTAAAGTAGATGTTAAAGTGTACAAAACAACATGATCTTGGCTTCATTTTACATTCTCTGTTATATTCTATCAATGGCCACATACGTATTAGACTGCAGAAACAGCTCGTGTTTTTGCCGAGGTTAAGATGCGCACGCGAGCGGTTAAACGAAAAGACTGGAACGAGAGGGTGAAAACGGGGAGTGAGACTGGGCGTAAGGGGGTGTGAGGCTCTCGCGCTTTTCGCGAAAATCTCACGCCGCTCCTTCGCGTCTTTGCAAAACCGATTATGACAAAACAAACCCGACCTGTTTTCCAGTCTACATACGTAGCATTGCTTCAGAAGGTAAAAAAAGACGTAATTTACACTGAAACCGTGTATAACAACAAAAGCTTTGATAAGAAGTAATTCTGAATATAAATGTACAAGATTTATAGGCAATTTCCGAGTTGCTCCAAGCTTCTGTTTCAAAGTGAAATGATTTTGATGAAAATTGTTTTTTATTATCATGCAAATGAAACTCATTATCGCAAAAAGATGTTTGAACTTAGTCTTGCTAGCTTGGAAAGTGAGAGCTTTTGGAACTCGGAAATTGCTTGTAAATGAAACAGATTTTATGCTGATTAAAAACCTCAAGAAAGGATAAGCTGAATAGTTTATTTAGTGTTTTAAAACACTTGCTGTAAGTGATTTGAACACCTTCAAAAACGTCCACAGAGTATTTCATCTCAATAGGATTGCTAAATAATACATTAAAATATGGCAAACAAAAGCAGCCAAAAGTAAGCTGACAAGAAAATCTTTTCGGTAAAGTATCAACACCTATCCGATATGTGACTCTCCACTTTAGAGATCGGCGCGGCGCAGTTTCGCTCCGTCATCGAGATCACGCCGCCACAACCGTCCTTTAGTGTGAACAGAAGCACTATCCGGGAAGATTTTCGTGGCTATCCGGTATAGTGTTAATAAAGCCTAATACGTACAACCTCTCCATCATTGCTGAAACTTCATTTGCAGCATACCGCAGCAATTACGTAGCACAAAGAGGCAAACCTTGTAGTTAACTAAGAGCGTACAACAACCACAAAAAAACAAAACAAAACGAAAAAAGAAAACAAGAAAATGCCTTAAAACTTAATTAGTAATTAAACTTCACAAAACTTGTTTTCTCCGTTTCCAAATTCCAGGTTGCTTCCCCCTCCTCCTTTATTTGAAGAGTCATTTCTCTCTCCAACTTCTTGTTTTGGCCGTTTCTTCCGGCTCATTTCTTAAACGTTCCTCTCCTCTCTTTTATACAACAAAAGAGCAATAGTTGGCATAGTTGACTTGTTATCATTTTGAACTTTCAAAAAAATTGTTTCCAAGAGAGAAAATCGGACAGAGAGGGTAACGCCCAGTCTCGCCCTTGATTGGGAAATGTGAATTTCACCAAAGTTATTTTTAGACCAGTTAAACACTAGAAATTAATCGGTATCTGATTTCCGGAGAGGGCCGCAAACTTTTGTTGAATGTTTTAAAGAGAGAATTCAACATTCTGCATTTTTTTGCTTTGAGGTAGTCGCGCGTGGACTTAATGGCGTTTCAAACAATCGATTAAAAGGTGCGGACGTTCCAGGAATTCCCTCTAGGTGTTACACCGTTGTATTAACGTGCTTGAAGAGGAAAAGCATAATTTTGTCTTTGTCGACGTTTAAATAATTTCAGAAGAGCTTTTCTGAACTCTGGCATTCTGATTGTGTAAATAATGGGGTTAACAAGCGAGTTTGTGTGGTATAGAAGAATAAAAGATAATTTCAGGGAAGAAAGGCTGTGTATAACAGTCAAAGAAAGAAAAGTAGATATAACATATGGTAACCACAATAGCAAAGATACAATGGTCATTATAAATAATGTCACAGTCAGTTTTCTTTGTCTATTGGCTGCACCATGGGAAGGAGGACGGGTTCCACACCAAAATTTTAAAGCAATGGAGGTGTACGAAACACAGATAACAACAAGGCAAAGGCAACAATATGACCGCCATAAGTAGAAAGGAAAAAGCAATTGCCACTGTTGTTGCAAGTTCCCATAGAGACGTATTAACGGAAAGGGAATTAATATCATCGCAGTTAAAATCCAGACGCCTGCAATTGTCACCCCGTAGGTCCATTTTTTGATGTTGCGATGCTTAAATGGACGAAACATCGCATGCATCCTATCTAAAGAAATTACTGCAATGCCTGTTACAGAGGTGAGAGGAATCCAGACGTCGATCATGACAAGCACAAGAAAATATTGCCATTCCAGCGCAACAAGAATCTGTTCAGAGCGGAATCTGAATTTACTTCCAACCTCGCAACCGTAAAGGAGGAAATGAAATACTACAAAGAAAGTGGCAATTCCCCCAACAAACATATCAGCCACGGTCAAGTTTATTACCAAGTACATGGAACGAGTGCGAAGATAACTGTTCTTTACAAAAATAATTATTGATATGAGGTTTACTATAACTACAGCAACAGTTATAGTAAGGAATACAGCATTCCATGTGCTACACTCGGTTGAAGAGAAACTCCTGGATACCATTGTTTTCTTTTAATTCTCTTTTCTCCTCCCTTCAGAAAGAAATCCAAAAAAAGTTTGGTGAAAAAAGGAAGTTAGGGGATGGACTAATAGGGTTGACGTCGACTCCTTAAATGTTAAGAATGGAAATTGTAGTTGACAACAATTCTTCAATAGAGTGCTCACCTTATCCTTAATTTCTTTATAATTTCGTTAACACTGAAGTGTTAACGAAAGAAAAAAATCATTAGCAGCGGCTGAGGGGAGAGTATGTTGGGTTGCCTGACTGGAAACTGAAGGCAAAAAAATTAATGTGAATTTTAGCTGTTAGTATCGGCGCTCATAGAACTGCGAGTCACTAAGAAGTAATTGATCAACTAGTTGAAAGTTCATTGTCACTGGGGAGGGGGGAGTACTCAAGAAAGGTTTATAAGGGACGTAGGTACAACCCCTTACCCTTTTGTATACCATTTATGACAGAAGAGGTACCCCTTTTCACTACCCCCTACAGACAAATGGTACCCCTATCACATACCTAGTTTTGAACTATGCATACATTTTAAGGTGGCCCGAACGATGCGTGTTGGTTATGTTTTTGATTTGCGTTTTTGAGAATGAAAGATTCAACCGATTTCTATGATTTTTGGCATCCTTAATAAACAATGATGGAACTTTAAGAAAATGTTATTTATTTTCTAGTAGGTATAAAAATCTTTGAGATATCTGCATATATTTAAAACCGCATTTTTACGAAAAATGTAAAACTTCGAAATTCCACGAAAGGTTTTTTCCTAACTTCAGCAAATAAGCCTCAGAGCTCTCTAGCTTTACATCTGCAAGTCTGAAGGCAATCGCGACCTTAGAACTCGCTGCACAAAATGCTGGTCAAATTTAACCTTAAAATGCTACGCTAACACATTTGTGAAAGTTGACGCACAAATAGAGGAAGACTGGTGACAGTCTCCTATCTCCTATCTGAAAGGATATTCCTACCTAAAGCTAATTATTGCAAGAAACAGAGTAATCAGAACCTTACGGCGAAGACAGTTAGCACTTTAAGAAGAACAATTTTAAGCTGAGTGCGCGGTGATATTAAAGAACTTTTATTCATCCAACTTACTTTGTATTTGTCCCTCTCTTTTGGAAGCAAATCTTAACAAAGCCAAATGTATTAGCTTCTACGAAAAACTTTCAAGAGTTTTTAGCGTCGCAGGTTCCCGTTTTGAAGAGAAATAAGGCCACCAACTCCAGTACTTCTAACCATCCATTTTTCAGCTGCAATGAAAACCCTTGTATTTGGTAATTTATTCACGCTTTTAACACTTACCATCACATTCGCACGGGCAGTTTGCTGTTGGGGATAATGAGAAGAATAAGACGATTGTCATATTTAACTTCATCTTTATTCCTAACCCGGTAAATTTCCCGTGCGAATGTGATGGAAATTATGAACCGAACGGTAGGCCTGTTTTTCAAACCTACCAGAAGTGCAAACAATATACTTTTTTTTTTTTTCATTTTGCCAAACTTTCGAAAAAATTGCCGCTGAGTTAAACTTGTTGTTAATATGAATCTACTTTTTAATGACTCCAGTAGACCGAACAAAATAGTTTTTTTATAGTTTCTCAGCCTGTGCGGGGAACGAGGTACGGAATGTGCGTCTTTCCCCTTCATCTCGTTATCACCATTATTAGCCGATTCATATAGAACTATAACATCTTTGAAGACTTTTAGAAAGAGAATTAGACAACTGGACTTGTCAGGTTTACTATTAATAATTCACCTACTACTACTACTACTACTACTACTACTACTACTACTACTACTACTATCATTCTTTTCATTGTAAATAGTTTTTTAGCTTTTAATACAAACCTTTTAGTATTATGCAAATAATTTTTACACATTTTATCTTTCCAATTAGGTATTTTGTATATACTTACATTATAATTATCTATTCCTTTTCAATTTTTTATTTCAATGTGTAATACCAAAATAGTTAGTGAGTTTTCTCACAAAAAACTAAGCTTATTTTAGTCAACTGAATAAACTTGACTTGACTTGACTTGTTGCGATATGTCCAAGTTCGCCGCAGTTGTAACTGGCTTTCAAAAAAATTGCCAACCTTCCCATTTTTCGCAAACACACGAAAAATCGCCATTTTTGCAGCTGCGTGGACATAAATGACTATTTGGGCCCCCACTTTTTAGAGCGACTGATACCCCCATTCCCCCGGCACTCATACTAACAGCTGCCTTCCGTTCGCTTGCTGTGACAGTTTATAGGCTTTAACCACGATTACTTTTTATATTTCTCGGTCTAGAATTTAAAAATTCTCTTTAAAAAAGACATAAAAAATAAAGCGAGATTTAACTGTGCTGCTTTACCGGACTACTAGCAAGATAACTTCACGATGCGAGGAGGACTTTGCTGTTCACTGGGAAATGTTTTAATTGTTTTAAAGGCTTACCGTTGTATTTTTTACACAACAACTTCTAACATAGCGCTTACCTTTGAGTTTCCACAAGCTGAGCTTGTAAGGAAGAGAGCTGAAGATTTTATGATCAAGTTTGCAACAGATTCATTCCCTGGACTGGCGTCAAGTGTTTCTTTTTGTTGAACGTAAAGATAAACAGATTGTTCCACCTTCCCTGAAATGATCACCGTTTTAAAATCATAAGGATAAATTTTAACTGAAAACGGTTCAAATCAAGTTTCGTACACTCCCAGTAAATGCTGCCTTTCCGTTCAGAGTGAACGAGACGCTTAGTTGATGTTCTTACCTAGTTACAGCCGTAATAGTCTTTTAATTAGCCCTATTGGGTAAAGTTTAATCTCATGATTAAACGGCCTCCAATTAAGCGGCCAGTAATGAAAGTCCCAAAATAATTGTAGAATTATGTTCACAACGTACGTCGGACGAGTTTTCAACCGGTTGAAGTTTACGCGTTAAGGTTTTCTGTTCACACCGAACTACCTTAACCGTACAAAGAAATCATACATCTAGCAGTTTGAAGTCCCGTGTGAACGAAGTGTCCGGTGTAATGTTTTCAGCCGGTCACAAATTCAATCGTCCGGTACTCTTTGGCCTCGATCCTCCGCAGAAATCGCTCTCCTGTTTTAATGAGGAGAGACATGACGATGCAAATGATCGATTAAGCACCGCGGCGCTTGTTTCATTTTCCCTGTTACAGGTGCGGCGCTTATACGAGAGCGGCGCTTATTTAAACTACGGGTAAAACACTGAGGGGGAATTAGGGAGAATTAAGTGGGGCGTGTGCTAGATATGCAGAATCCAATAGTGAACACTCCGAACTGTTATATGAACTCGGTTTCAAGAGTTTCCCTACATTTAAACTTTAGAACTCACGAGTTTGTCGAGGTCTTATTTCTTAAGCGCTTTGGTTTTGATATCTCTTTATATCAAGCGCATGTAACAAAGGTGGAGCATTAAGTTGTAAATATCCAAATAAGCGCCGCGGCGCTTATTTCGTTATTTCCGGTAAAGATGCGGCGCTTAGTCGATCATTTACGGTAAAGTTGAAGTAGGTACATTTTCCTACCTCTTCACACTCAAAGTAGATTCCAAGTACACTTACATTATGCCAAGAATTATTACTTGGCTTCACACTAGAAGCTAAGTTTGTGTCAAGTAAGAACTTGATTCAAGTGCACTTGGAAATCTTAAGTCGCTCTGTAGAAAACGTGGCTTCACACTTGTTGACAAAGTATATTGCGTGAAGTAAATGCTGTCATTCTCTCCGTTCATTAGAATCTTGAAACCGCGGCACGTGCACATCATGCACATGGCTGTCATTTCTTATTGGTCAAGCGTGTTCTCAAGTGTGGTGTAGACCATACTTGGCGGCGAACTTCGGCTTCTTTTGACTACGAACGTTTGCATGGTCACCAAGTAAAGATAAAGTAGGTTCCAAGAAGAACACTTAAATTAAACTTGAAGCTCTAGTATGAAACCAGCAATTATGGCTCTTGATTATACTTGAGAGCTCTAGTGTGAAGCCAACAAATAGAATTTAGATTACAAATAGGAGGCTTGCAATGGAACATGTAGCTTTTTCTCCACGATTAAAGCAACTTCTCTCGTTGCCTAACTCCTGAACGTTACGAAAGACAAAGTGATATTAAAAGTATACTTTGGCCAGCGTTGCTGGAACTTTCGCGCAAATAGGCCGAGTATACAAATTTTTGACAAACCGTGCAAATCGTGGGCAAATTATACTGCTAAAGTAAGGTTTGAATGAATGAATGAATGAATGAATGAATGAATGAATGAATGAATGAAGAGCCGTGGATGAGAGGACAATAGACGTGCCTCTTACAATATATCTTAACATGTGAACAGTAAGCTCGGCCTAAGCACACAAAGGCGCCACTGGCAGCCACTCTCA